CTCCTATTGTTCAAATTAAAATGTAAAGAAAATCAAAAGGGAAAAATCGCAAACATTGGACTCAAACTAACAGTTCTTCGTTAACCAATTCACATTCACTTATACATACACATAGACGCGTAGACATTCATAGGTGCTCATAAAACAGTGTGTTACGCAAACATTTATATACCTGAAGAGGAATCGTTCTTAGCAACGAGGTTATCGTAATCGTCAGCTTCTTCTTCTTCCTCAAGATGAGACTTTGCAGATTTCACCATTTCGCGCTATAATCTTTATCTACAATCAGCTAACGAGCACAAACAAAAATTTAACTATAAACGAGAGAGAGAAAGAGGCAAGACAATCGCAAAAAATACAAGCATATGTATATACACATAAAGATACGTACTTGCACATCTATACGCTAGCGTTTGTATGGAGAGAGAAGAAAGAAAGAGAGAGAGAGAGAGAGAGAGAGAAGTAGGAAATGGAGCTCCGAGGGAGGGTCCGAGTGGAGCCAGAGCCAGAGCCAGAGCCAGACAGGTCTGTCTCTACAGAGAGAGGAGAGAGGGAGAATTTTTGTACAGTTGGTGGAAGAAGAAGCCCTAGGCAAAGACTTAAAAAGTTCTGTAGTTAATTATAATTAATTAATTAGCATAATTATCATTTCATTTTATCATCCTTTTATCTTAAGACTCATTTTCTATTGGCTGCCGCTAAGGCGCGCGTGACGGAAGCATGTTAAAGAGGGAGTGCACACTTTTTTTTATTAAATAAAAAAAAAAATGTATTTATATTTAATAAAAAAAAAAAGGTTAATATGTAAAATTTAATTTATATTTCATTGAAAACTAAATTATATTAAACAGCTTAAGTGATTAATATTAACAAGTTTCAAGACTTTGCCTTCCTTGGAAACTGAAGATAACAAAGGGCTTCATCAATATTAAGAAGGCTGCAAGAGTTCTTACAGGAATTAATGAAGGAAAAATTCGTATTTAGTTACGGAATAGAAAAAGAATATCCTTCTGATCAACTACTCATCATCTTTACATAAAATTCAAACACAAAATGAATTAGAATATTAAACTTTCCCCCAAAAAGATCAGCTGTAGTGTTCTATTTAGATGTTACACTATCAACATACTTCTTTAGAATCCGATCAGAGGTAAGACCGACAGTAGCATCCGCAAAAAATGGCCGCTGAGTAAACATGTAATTTACTGCAGTGGCAGTGAAGTGCTCATGCCAGAGGTGATGGATAGACAAGCTAGACATGAGGATCCCAGTCTGATTCATTCAAATTCTTGAGCTATGGTTAAGAAAATTGCTTCCCAGTCTGGTGGAAAAAGAAACTGAGGAGAGCTGGAAATTTTCCATGCATGAATCCACAATGGAAACCATCCTTTATATAAATACAAATGCCTGCAAGGCCAAGATCTCTCATGTGTGCTGTTATCTCTCTCCACCCTCAAGATCTTCTTGATCGTCCAATTGTGTTTCCTCTTTGTTTGTTTCTCCACCTCCATTTTCACCATGTCGAAAAAATAACCCAGATGATGAGGAATCATCCTCGTCAAGATCTTCTTCCCGTTCCTTCTCTTTTGATCTTAAGATTACTTCCCTGTTCATCCAAGCAGGGCAACGGTGCAGCACTCCTAGAGCAGCTTGAACTTGGGGATGCACCGGAGGACTTGAAGCATTAACTGATGCATTGCGTGGATCATCCCTCAAGCATGAACATTCAGGAGCTGGATGAGAGAGGAAAGATAATGGCTTTGCTGTAGTAGAAGCTTCCTTTAGACCATCAAGTAAAGTTTTTCTGAGATGCCTCCTTATTGATGTTACCCAAGTATGATTTGCTTGATACAGGTGGTCGCTAATTTCTTCACAAAGCCTGGCAACTTCTTTCCTATGTTTCAAATCCACAAAAAGAAAATGGAATCAACAAAAAGTCATTTTGAAAAATGACTTCTAATAGATGCAAGATTGGATTAATTGCAAGAGAATCAAAGTTTTATGAACAATTCAAGGAATCAAGTGAAGATACAAGATGAATTTAAGAAAAGATAAAGATGGATAGGAGGAATACAAAAATGAATTAATTATGATAATTTCTAATAGAAAGGAGTGCAACCAATATAGCATTCAGAACAACAATCTTGCTAGCTGGTTGGCAAGTCTATGGATCACATACGAGGAAAATGAGAAACTCATGTCTGACTTTGATTTATTAGTTTTTAGTAAGTCTCATGAATCTAACTTATTATCTACCTGAATATGTTTCTATATTTCTGCATATGTGTTAAAACACAAACATTTACCTGTCTGGCCTGTATGTCTTTGAGGCAGCTGACTGATAGAGCCTGTGCCCCATTACTAAACTAGCAAAATTTGGATGCCCCTTACCATCATGATCAAATCCTGGGATGAAAATATCAGCTTCAACACAAATCATATAGTCAATTGCTTCCCATAGTAATTTATGTGCATTAGTTCTCAACTCCATAACTGTACTTTCGGGTTCATTATCACTCTCAGCCACCCAACCCCACCATCCTTCAATATTATAGGATTTAGGCCGAGCTGGAGGTGGTGGAAGTGGACGAGGTCGTGGACCAACAGTTTTCCATGCATCTACCTTCATTTCTTCTTCAAAGGATGCTGGAGTCCGTGGGTTATTGTCATTGAGTTTAGACTCACGACCATAAATTCTACTGAGCTCCCAATTAGTACTGAGAGAAGTCCTATCGACAACATTTTCAAACATCCCATGAAGTGGAATTAAGGTTCTTTGGCCACCAAAAACTTCTCCCCAGAAACATATATAATTGTGTCCCACGCATACCCATATGCCCGTAGGAGAATACCAACCTGTAGAAGACCAAAAATTTCAATCAAAGGCTATTTCCTCTGAAGAAATCTACTCCTGTACAATTTATATCTTATCTTGAATTGGCTTTGAAACTGCCTTTCTTTCTATTTCTTTTTTAATGTTAGTCTTATAAAGTCGCTAATTGCCTCGAACTACTGAACAAGGTTTTGGTGCACATAGCATTTCACTTTTTATGTTCTAATGCAAAACTAACATC